AAGTCACAGGGCGGGACAGAAAATTTCGAAGGACAGCAGAAAAAGACAAAGTCAAATACGATCATGAAATGTGCAAAGACCAGAGTTAGAAACTCAAAAAGGAAGAACAAGCTCAGCCTATCTTAAATGGAAAGAACTCAAGAAAAATGTTCGGGCCTCGAGTTGCAATACTGAAAGACTCAATGGGCAAAATGTTGAGCTGATGCAGGCAGCATCAAAAGAAGATGAAAATACAAAGTCACTGAACCAAAAAGAATGAGGAACTTCCCAACATTTCAAATGGTAGCAGATCATCAAGAACCAGTGGCGCTGAAAGAAGTACAAACTGTGCTGAAAGCATGAACAAAAAATCCGCCTCCAGGAATTGATGGAATATCGATTGAAATGTTTCAAGAAGCTGACAAAGCCCTGGAAGCATTCACCTGCCTACACTAGGAAATTTGGCAGACAGCTAGCTGGCCAACTAACTGGAAGAGATCCATATTGGTTGTACCCATTCCCAAGAAAGGTGAAGCAACAGAATGCACAAATTATTCAACAATATCATTGATATCAAATGGAAGTCAAATGTTGCTGAAGACCATGGTTGGAGCTGTACGTTAACAGGGAGCTGCCAGAGGTTCCGGCCGGATTCAGAAGAGGACGTGGGAACAAGGGATCTCATGGCTGATGTCAGGCGGATCTTGGCTGCCAGCAGAGAATACCAGGAAGGTATGTATTTGTGTTTTATTGACTATGCAAAGGAATTCAACTGTGTGGATCGTAACAAGCTATGGACAGCCTTGAGAAGGATGGGAGTTTTGGAACACTCCTTGTGCTCCTGTGGCACTTGTTCATGGATTGAGGGGTGGTTCTGTGAATGGAACCCTGCATACTTTACATCTGAGAAGGAGTTTGGCGGGTTGTATCGTCTCGCCCTACTTATTCAATCTGTATGTTGAGCAAATCATCAGAGAAGCTGGATTCGATAAAGAAGCGTGCAGCTTCAGGATCGGAGGAAAGCATATAGCCACGCGGGTATGCACATGATACAAGCTTACGTGCTGAAAGTGAGGAGGACTTAAAGCCCTTGCTGATGAAGATCAAGGCTTGCGGCCTTCAGTAAAGAAAGCTTAACGTAAGGAGAACAAAAGGCCTCACAACTGGACCAATAGGTCACATTGTGATAAACGGAGAAAAGATGAAAGTTGTCAGGGTTGTTTGGATCTGCTCACGGAAGCTGCAGTCCACGAATCAAAGGCCGTGCTGCCGTGGGCATGTCTATGGCACAAGACAAGACCTCCTGAAAGTGTAGAAAGGCAAAGATGACTGAGGTGCGCCTGACCCAGGCCATAGTATTTTCCATCGCCACCTATGCCTGTGAGAGCTGGGCACTGAATGAGGAAGACTCAAGAAGAATAGGTGCCGCTGATTTCCAGTGCTGGTGAAGCATCTGGAGCGTACTAGAAGAACAAACAAGTCTGTCTTGGAAGCAGGACAGCAGGACATGCTCCTTGGGAGCACGGATGGCGAGACTTCTTCTCTTTGACTTAAGACAGGCTGTCAGGAGAGCCCCTGGAGAAGGACCTCTGCGCAGTAAAGTCAAAGGCAGCAGAAAAGAGGAAGGTCCTGGACAAGATGGATGGACACAGCCGCTGCTCCAATGCGCTCAAACACAGGAGCGACTGTGAGCATGGCACAGGGCCAGGTGTTGTTCTGTTGTCCAGAGGGAAGTCTGAGTCGGGACCGACTGGACAGAGGCGAACACCAGCAGGCCTGCAGGCGACCTGGGTGTAGGAGGGGAATGCGAGGCTCCCAAGGACTTTGTGTAGTCTTAACAGAAGGTCATTGAACTTGGATATTCACCTTTGATGCAAAGAGAGCCAAAGATGTCGTGGAGCATATAGGGGACAAAGTTATAAAAACAACTTCTTAGACATAATCAAATACCTGAGAGAAGCGTCATTGAGCCCAGGGGGCCCAGGGACACCCCAACCGCCCAAACCACTCACTGCCATTGGATGGAC